CAAATTGAAACGATCCTGTGCATTCAACGAAGGTATCAAGTCTGGGGAGGCAAAGGAAGACGAATCTATCTGCTATGATGGTATTTGATATGCCCCATGCTAAAGAGCGCCTTCCCTTATCATGCCAATTCGGCCGTGTTTGTTCCCATCGTCAAATCCCCATACAGTACGTATACATGATGATGATGATGATGATGATGATGATGATGATGATGATGATGATATTTCTTATACCTAATGGAGCCTGCCTAAGCGTGCGGTAAGCTATGTAGGTCGGTGCACCCGGACTGGCACCACAAGAAACCTTCTCTAACGCCGAATTCCCAATAGAAATGACCGGACGGTCTGTCCTAGTGCTTTAAAGCGACCGAGTGACCAATTGTTCAGTATGTTGTATTTTTGTTCAATGCAATCCAGGGCGCCCCCGGAACTCAGATCGTACTTTGTTGAGCTTTGCAGAACTGTTACACCTTTTCTCAATCTAGCTACCACAGAGGGGACATCCTTCTTTCCTAGCGGCCCGAGATAAACGGCTAGTACTTCGGAAGGTAAGCTGAAAGGCTAGACCGGTGACAGTTTTCCCCACCCGCCTTTTATTGCGTACCGCAGTAGCTACCCCTACCCCGGGTCTACCATCCAGGTCCTAGCCAAGTCAACCAAGGCGTAGGCTTTCTTCGGTAGGTGCCTCTAGGGTAAAAGTTGTGAAAGTGACAGGATTCGAACCCGCAGTCCCTACGTTCCGTGCTAGGACCCCAGCTAGCATTTTCGCGTAAGACCTAACCAGTGACGCACTACTGTTTACGCCACACACCCCCGGTGAAACGAATGTTTATCGAGTATTTCCGTCTTTTACTGATGACCTGGCTGACAAAGGTCATCTCAAGACCTATAACATGATAGATGAAATTAACCCCGACAGCGATAGTTCTATCTGGGTGGGAATATGCGGCCCTCTTTGAGTGGCTAAACGATCCGCGCGAGATACTGTCGAAACTCAGGTTTGGGGCTTTTCGAAGTCTGACGTTGATCTCAACGATATTCTGCGATGGGACTCCACAAGGCCCACAATTTAGCTCCCCAATGTCTCAGAGGAATATTCAATTAGCTTGGGCCATTGACGTTTCGGTGATACCGCTGACTATTACTGATCTTGAAACATAGGGGATCGGTATCATCTAGTAACAGGTTTCTCGTGCATTTTGTTGGAGCTTCAAGTTGTCTATCCTCTTCTAGGTTTAATTTCCTTGTAAGCTTCCGTGAATCACTTATCCACTAGATCTCATCCTTAACTTTCTTCATTACCAAGTATTGGACACTCTGAGCCGTTAGTGACACAAGTCCAAATTTTCTTCAAGTGCAGATTGGGACATGTTGCTATGTGCACTTAATAACTAAGGTTCCTTCCGCTTATTAAACTGGGCGCAGACTTCACGCAGTATACTACACGGAAGAAGAATCTGTTCGTACCTAGGTATTTCTTGAATAATAGTAGCTAGACGGTTTTGTCTACGAATACGAATAAGCAAAATTCTTATTCGTGTGCAGCCCTAGTCTAGCCAGCCCTCTCCGTCCGGACTATCAGGGGATAGTCGGTATAGATCAAGCTGCTCACAGCATCTCTCTCCCAGACAAAGTCTTTGTTTACCATTTCGAAATCAAGCTTCCAGAGCAACTTTGCCGTAATAAGACGCAAACTCTGCAGGGCTGAGTTCTTTCCAACACATGCCCTTGATCCTATCAAGAAGGGCCGATAGGCCTGGCGGTTGTCGCTCTCGAATAATGTATCCTTGCCGTGGGATACCCACCTCTCGGGCTGGAACGAATCAGGCTCCCTAAAGTACCGAGATGACCGGTGGATGCTATAAATATCAGCAGACACAATCGTGCCCTTCGGAACGTAAGTTTCGGCTATGGTGCACTCCGGGGCGGTCCGCTGGGCGGTTTTGCCGTTGGCCGGGGGCAGGAGACGCAACGCCTCGCGAATGCAGCCATTGAGCAAGGGCAGCTGCAGTAGACGTTCGTTTGTGATGTCCGACTCGTTCTGGAAACTCGCCCTGACTTCTTTACGCACTTTGTCGTATATACCCGGATTGCGAAGGATGTTATAAAACAGGGCCACCACCGCAATGCTCGTTGACTGGTAGCCAGTGAATCTGCCGCGCAGAACAGGTGTTAGTTATTAGGTATCAATTCCGGTGCACTAGCGGGAAGAGATGAAATATGCTTACAATAGGACTATGATATTAAAAACCATAGCGTCACTATCGAGAGAGAAACCGAGTTTTTCAGTGGCCGTCATGGCCTGTATGAATGTCTTACGCGTGCTAGCATTCTGTCGTTCTAAGCACCTGGAGAAAAGAGTTAGCAAGGAACCATGTCTACGGGTTATTCAAAACCTAAGACGTACTCTTTGAACTTATCAGCAGGAAGAATCTTGGAGAAGGGAGTAATCTGATAAGGCAGAATCCAGAAGATAACATGTAAAATCAGAGCTACTCCAGGGAAAGTGCTTGACCAGAGGAGGAATTCTACCATGGGCATAGACGCCTTTCCCACGGTCTTAAGAAATTCCCACGTCGCTGCACAGTGAATATATTCATCAGTATACTCCATCTTGAAATAACTAAGATGGTTTGCGCCATACATTTCTTCCCCATTGTCAGGGGCTCACCGAACGTCACCTCTGCGAGGATTCCCCACAGTATCGTCTCCAACTGGGCTCGAAGATCGACTTCGTCTCCGTGATCTGCATGCTCTTCAAGCTGATGGATGGTTTCGTCGACGTGGGACTTCTGGATTTGTTCTTGCTCAGCGAGGCTACTAGGGGTGAAGGCTTGTTCCACGGTCCGACGGAGCTTCTTATGCATATCAAGATCGGAAACTGTGAGCAGTGTGGGCGTGGGATCCGCAAACAGAAGGCCAGTGAGGAAGTCTATGAAGGTGGCCTTTTTCGAAAAGCCGCCTGCTTCCTGCTTTGAGTAGATCTCATTCTGGGCTTCGAGGGTGGCAAATGAGAGCTCATTTGGCGCTATACGCACGGCCGTTCCTGAGCATCCAGTCGTCAGCCTTAACAAAACAGCAGAATTAGAGGTTATTGATATCTCACCGTATCTGGCGTGTAATTCCTGTAGGTCTGAGTTGTAACTTCCCCGGTAAAGAGAGCCCATTATCCACAACTTTATCAGTCAGTTGAAGTGTTTACGGAAAAGGGAGATGTTCGGCAGCATACCGGTGAGAACTTCGCAAGAACCGGCCCAGGAACATGGGCAAGCGGGTGAAGGAAGCAACTGTACGATATATACACCAGTGCTAGTACACTAATCTGTGAGGTATTGTTAATCAAGGGCCCAGTTCGATAAGCATGGGTAGCAAGGCAACTTACGACACCCGCCACAGTGGCCGGTTGTGGCCATTGAAGCAAGAAAAGGGGTTGAGTGATCATTCTAGGAAAATGTACAAGTCTTGTCGAAGTTGGTTCCGATGGTGCTGAGTATGAGCCCTCTTAGCACATCTCTTGTCTGGCAGACTGCGTAAAGGCTTTTGTAAAGACCAAACCACCCAGTTGATCCGACGCCGGTGCTGGTCCCTTTCCTAAGGAATTTTTAAGATTTGTGATCCTGGCAGGTAGCGTGCCCCACCCCCACCCCCACCCCCCTACCTCCCCGCGTCCAGGAAGGGGTGAAGCACGTTATCTGCCCCTTCCGGTTTCCATTCCCACCCGGCGTTGGTTATTCTTCGGTTTGGATTGTTCAAAAAGGTTTTCTCCGCCAGATATGTCCTCGGTAGTTACACCTAAATTTAAATGCCACCCATAAAAATCAAATTTAGTAGAGTCTGTAAACAAGGTTACCGAAAAGCTTAATTAAGTTAGCAAGCTGATTGGTCGGTCAGTATCATAGATCTGGTCAGCTTTAATTTCCTTCTAGAACGCCTCAAAGCTCAATCGCGTTTGGGCTCATTGAAGCGAGGGAATTTTCGTCTTTGCCATTGGTGCCTGGTAAGGTCCTATGCCGCGTAATACTGGTGGACCCCTACCTTTTTGACCTTTTTGTGTCCAGTGTTGCATTCAACACTCAAGCCTCACATTGCCCCCATGGACCCCGGGGCCAATTGATGCTTGACAGGCTATTGTTCCCCACGTCTGGCTTGCCGCGTGGTATTCTCGGTTGGTGGTCCTTCGTAGGTGTGGAGCCAACCCTCTTATCAACGGGAGCCCCGACGAATGGTCTAGATGATCGCGTAATGGTACAATCAGCGCAATAAGTACCGGAGATGAAGCATGTCTTACCAGTATTCTTATCTTTTGCCCGTTCAGCTTCGCAAAAGTTCAACCCCCTTAGCATGTTTAGATATCACGAGAACTTCCTTTGGTTGGACAATATTCTAGAAATCATGAAATGCCCTGGAACCTGATTCAACAATTATGCCTTCCCCCGACACGGGCATTCCTCCATGGTCACGGGGTGGCACACCTGCCTTAATCCTCCCGTCAACCACGAAGCCAGGAACGCCATTGCTTTGCCCCAAAACGCGGGGTTCGATCCATAGTATTCTGGAGAGGTCTCTTTACTGGCCTATGAGGGTAAAGTTAAAGTGAAAAATCACTCATTTTCCACTTGCCTCTCACGGTTATAGTCGGGAGGGCCGGGACGCGGTGTGGGGGCGCAGCAGGCGAGAAATCGGAAGGGACAGATAGTAAAACATAAAAACAGAATATCACACCCGGTGGATCCCCATATACCAGTTAATATTCACACTTTCAGGGGGGCCTATCTCGCTTTCGTTTTGCCTTCTTTAATATATGCCGTGCTAGGACATCTTAGACGTTAGGCTTGCAAGCGTTCCACCAATATCAAGGGGGTATATAGACAGACTGTAACCCCACTTAAAAAAGGAATAAAAGGTGCCTTTACGTTAGGGACCTATGCTGACTTCCAGACGTTGATTAACTGTCCTCATATGAAGTATTGGTTACGAACAAGAGCTATGGTGACACAGTGCTGTACTTAGCTTACTGTGTGTTGATTACCTATTATATTACCGTCTGCATACCTGCCTCCCCGCCGTGACATATGGCCATAATCATGTACAGCTTAGGCAGTGCCCTTGCGGCGTCCTTTGGCACTGTACGATATCCCCTCCATACTAGCTGACAGTAATGGTGCTTTTTTTTTTTTTCGAAGAGACCCCCGCTGATCAAGCAAGCTAGATGGTGCTGTTTGCGGTGACCAGAGTTGTCTACAACCTTTGCGTCCATCCGCTCCGCAACTTCCCTGGGCCGATCCATATGCGGGCCTCGGTATTCCCCTACCTCTACAAGGAAATGGCCGGCACCCTTTCGGACGATATCCTGGACCTGCACAGGCGCTACGGCGAGGTGGTGAGAGTGGCGCCTCACGAGCTGTCCTTTGCCAACGCCGCGGCCTGGGACGACATCTACAGTCAAAAGCAGAACTTGGGGAGAGATACCCGCTTCTACTCTGTCCCCGAGAAACACCTTGCCTCTGTTGACCTTCAGAAAGGCAATATCGTCCGGCGCGCGCTCCAGCCTGGTTTCAGCGACAGGAGCCGGCGGGACCAGGAGCCCGCCATTATGTCTTATGTTGACTTGCTGGTACGGCGACTGCACGAGAGGTGCGGCAAACGTGCGACGCCCCTGGATATGGTTCCATGGTACGATTTCACTACCTTTGACATCCATAGCGACCTAGCCTTAGGTGAGACTTTCGGCTGCCTTGAGAAGTCCGGCTATCATCCTTGGGTTATGGATACCTTCCAACTGAGCCGTGCCGGGAGGTTCCTACGGCTGCTGAACTACTTTCCTAGACTGAAAAAGCTTCTGTTCTTCTTGGTGGGGAAGTCAGCTCGGAAGCGGTCTAGGGAACACAGTGAGTTGCCGAGGACGAAATTGCTGAAGCTTATGGATGGCAGCAAGGAGGAGCGCTCCGATCTAATCGGAAACCTAATTAAGCGAAAGGACGACTTGGTGAGTGCTATCTACACAATCATGCCGTCGTCTTCAGCTAATACATTTCCTACAGGGACTATCGATGGAGGAACTCCAGGCCAACGCTATCATCCTGGTCCGTGCTGGGGCAGAGACCACGGCGACGGCGCTCTCCGGATTAACATACTACCTCTTGACGAATGCGGAGGCCCTGGAGAAAGCAACCTTGGAGGTCCGATCTACTTTTAAAGACGAATGCGAAATTACCTTTTCGTCTGTTTGCCGCCTGAACTTTCTGCAGGCTTGCATGAACGAGGCACTACGGCTCTACCCCCTATCTCGGTTGGAATGCCGAGGGTGACTCCACGGGAAGGAGTGCTGATTTGTGGACACTATGTGCCTGGAGATGTAATGAGAATCCGCGGTCATAACGCAAAGCGTATTCGATGGAACTCCTTGATTGACAAATGTTCTAGACTACCGTTACTATCAACCAATGGGCGCTATACCACCAAGACAGCCTCTTTCGGGATCCGTTCAACTTCCACCCGGAGCGCTTCCTCGGCGATCCCCAGTACGCGAGCGACAATCTCCATGCCTTGCAGCCGTTCCTAGTCGGGCCCAGAGCCTGTTTCGGCAGAGCGTACGTATTAGCTTTGCCACACTGATTGAATTGTATTAGACCCTGTTCTTGCTTGCTGACCCTGCCCTAAGTCTGGCCACTGCAGTGATACGCACTGTATTTGCTCGACTGTTATGGAATTTTGACCTCCGAATTTCGGATGAGAGCAGAAGTTGGATTGACCAGAAAATCTTCCTCGTGCGGGAGAAGGGACCGTTGAAAGTTTATTTGACTCCACGTGGTCTAGAAGCAAGCACGGCTCAGGAGTTGGCCATTTAGCCATCAGCAGATAAATTGTTATACTTTTTACGGAAGATTGAAATCCGCCGGACTGAAACATATAGATATATTGTTTACGCTAAGAAAATCGATCGGGATTACAAACTCCAACTTATAGGTCAAAGATAGGGGTAAAGTCTGTCATTTGCTTGACCATAAGGGTCTCTATATACGGTGGGCCCTGGTCAAGCAATGACAGACTTTCCTATCTTTCCTTCTAGTAAACCCATTTAGGATAAGGTTCAATGTTTCGTTTTTCCTTTCATTTCATTTCCTCTCATTTTTTTTCATTTCCATTTTCTCTCGGCATGTTATCTCGGCAGGTTATCGTAGTATTCTCGATAAACTTTCGATAAACTACTTAGCTTTATTGTCGAGAAAAGTGGAGCAGTTACTTACAGCTGCCTCACTATTGGTTTCCTTCGTCCCCCGCCTTTCTTTGTGTTTTGTATGTAATTACGGGGTTCCGAGACAACACTTTCAAGTCACTCTCGAGTATCCCATGGGTCCTCTAAGACACGGAGGAATTGGTCCCATCCACATACCAACTATGGACCAATTCTGCATATGCGTATTTTACGTATCCTCTGCCTGTCACTCATTTTATCTACAATCAATCAATTCATCCCGTTTTAGTTGGTTCGGCCTGATCCCATTCGCCAGAGTGCATACTAGCAGATACGAGATTACTTCGCTCCGTCATTTATCGTTGAAGAAATGAGAGAGGTATTGACCATATGTATAATATGCCTGCCAAAATAACCGGAGTGGTGGTCTATGTAACCTTCCACAATTCCTATATATAGTAGGCGATAAAGGAAAAACGCATTCTTCCCCCCACGTTTCTTGTCGTGTATCATTGAATTTCTCTAGTCCGAGGGCCATTTTCAACACCTGACCTTCTCAGCCATTATGGATGAACTGACTTATCAGTCGAGGCTCATTCCAACAGAGGAGGCACAGCGAACAGGCTGCTTCACGTCCTTACCTATCCGCATTCATCCCCGCAATGACATTGCCGACGGGGCAACAGCCAAGTTCACTGCAGACTGGGCCAAGCACGTTCATGACGGCAGAGAGAAGAGAACCCACTTCTGCCCTTCCCCGGTGGGAAATTGGAATTCGTTCCTCTACCCCGAGGCCCTCCCTGAAAGGCTTGGTACTGTTTCTTATCTACTGGACCTTGGTCTGATTCACGACGGTGAGTTCACTGAATGGGGACATGCGTATCAGCTGGTAGGCATGTGGCTGACTTGTCTGGTTAAATAGATGTGAATGAGGAGCTCAGCGTCCAAGATGCCGTGACGGCGCATGAACGTCTGAGGCCTGCCTTGGACCCTCAGGATAACCGCAAATGGGACCCAGAGTCACCGCAAATGAAATTCAAGATGCTCTTATCCGAGTGTGTTCTTGAGTGTATCAAAACAGATCGCAAGCTTGGCATGGCCATGCTTGAGGCTTTTCGTGTTCTCTGGCTGGATATTGCCGAGAACGCCACCAGCGAAGTGCCACAGACACTGGAAGACTATTGGCGTGTACGAATGTCAAATGGTGGTATGAGGTAGGCAAACTCTGCGCCGTTCTGTTAGCATTTCAACAGTACAACTAACCCATTTACTATGGCAGTGTTTTCTGGCCTATGGTCCTGTTCGCCACAAACCTTCACCTCTCGGAGGAACAACATGCTTTAGTCCAACCCATCATTGCCGCCGCCGAGGAAGCTCTTTGTTGGGCGAATGACTACTTCAGCTATGAACGTGAAGTCTGGGAACTTGAGACCGGAAAGGCGAAACGCATCGTCAACCTTGTCGAGATGGTGTCCCGGACCAAGGGACTTTCGAGTACAGATGCCAAGGCAGAAGTCAAAAGGATGATCTTGGATGCTGAGGCTAAGTATTGCCGGCTCCGCGACGATCTGCTCAGTTCACACCCAGACATGACCTTGGATTTGAAACGTTGGATCGAGTATATCGGTCTGTCGATCTCTGGTAATCACTATTGGCTCTCGGCTTGTTCCAGGCAAAATGCATGGAGGACCAATGGCACCCCCAATGGCACCAAGAGCGACGAGCCGAGTACTGATAATAACGACACGCTATTGAAAATGCCGAAGCGTCTTACCAATGGCACCGCCAATGGCACCAAGAGCGACGAGCCGAGTATTGATAATAATGACACGCCATTGAAAACTCAGGAATGTCTTAACAACAACCCCCCAATGAGCCGCATCCCGTCTGTCAGTATCCAAAGGAAGAACTCGACGACTTGGCCGTGGCTGCGCCTGTTACACACGTCTCTAGCATGCCATCCAAGGGCACTAGGACCCAGCTCATCGAAGCCCTGAATATCTGGTTGAAGGTGCCTCCGGGAGCCTTAGCACACATTAGCTCGGCCATCGATATGTTGCACAACGCGTCGCTGGTCCTAGACGACATCGAGGACAACTCGCCTCTGCGTCGCGGTCTTCCCGCCACACATATCGTCTTCGGGGCGGCGCAGTCTATCAACAGCGCGACCTTCATGTTTGTGAAGGCGACGGCGGTGGTGCGCTCGGCGCTCAGCCCGGCGGCACTGGCGGCGCTGCTGGAGGGTCTCGAGACACTCTTCTTGGGCCAGAGCTGGGACCTGTACTGGAAGCACAACCTACAGTGCCCAAGCGAGCGCGAGTACGTGAGCATGGTGGACTACAAGACGGGCGGCATGTTCGTCATGCTGGTGCGACTGATGGTGGCCGAGAGCCCGTGCTGGGGCGGCGTGGTCGTCGAGGAACTGGAGAGGCTGATGCAGCTGCTGGGACGCTTCTTCCAGATCCGCGACGACTACCTGAACTTCAGTGCCTACGCAGCCCAGAAAGGCTTCGCCGAGGACCTGGACGAGGGCAAGTTCTCCTTCCCTGTCGTGTGCGGCTTTGAGAGGCATCCCGAGCGGTGCGGTCACATCCTCGCCGTCTTCAGACAGCGCCCAACCAGCGCGGCCGTTGAGGCTAAACCACTGCCCAGGGAGGTCAAGGAGCATCTGATAAAGTGCATTGCGGCGTCTGGCGGCTTCGACGAGACTCTAAAGTGCCTAAGGAGCCTAGAGCACGAGCTAGACCAAGAGATTGCCAGGCTTGAAGAGGGATTGGGTCAAGCTAATCCCCTCCTGAGATTATGCTTGGCTGCGCTGAGTATGGAAGGATGTGAGAAAATTTCATATGGTCATGCTGCGGCTCGGGATGGCCGGCTGTTCAGAGAATAAAATATTCAAAGACCAGTACAAGCGTAAGACCAGAAATAGAAGATAGTTTTCATAGCTCATTAAGACTAGTCCCCTACTCATGACTGTATGACGGAAACGCATTGCTTTTCCGGTTTTTAACTAATCACCGCGAACCATCTCAACCTCATGTCCCTCCTATATTTTAGGTGCAGATTAGCTCAGGCTAGCTAGGTAGGGCTCTTGACTCTTTCAATGAAAGGGGAAACACCTGTCGGTTTAGCTATGTACCTCGCAAAGCATAATCCGCGTGGGAAGTGACATTGCGGTTGATAGGGGCCCAAAGAAGAGTGAAGCGAGAGGGAATTTCAGGGAAAGGGACGAACGTGATTGGTTAAGTTAAAAAAAAAAGGAAAAGACCTAAGGTGGGCTAGGGGACGAGGGACGAGGGGGGGAACGGACTACGCTAGGACCAGGGTCGAGATACCCTGCCTGCCAAAGAGTTTGCATGCCGCACCAGGTAACGTATTTCACTACTCGGGCCCTTTTAATGCTTAGCTAAGCTAGTCGCCCCAAACACCTCTGGTGTTGGGGCTCCGGTTTTAGAGCATACTTTCGGGCCCGATTTTGGTGCCTAACCATACTTTTCCCCCACCTAGTAAAATGTCAATCTTCGTAGCATTTTTGTATAGCAAATTACTGCCATAAATACTGCATTCAAAAGAGCATTGCCTGAGCTATTTAATGTAAGCAAATCAGAATGCAATGTCCTTATATTGGTAGGATATTCGCAGTATTCCTCATGCTCTTGGCGTACATGCATTACCCAGCCATTTCTCTCGCTTTTTTTCTCCAATTTTATCTCCACATTCCTCGCTTTCTCGATGGACTCGATTCAGGCATCGGCAGCGGTGACATCGGCAGCGGTGACATCGGCAGCGGTGACATCGGCAGCGGCGGCGCCGGCGTATTTAGGCTGGCATTCACCCTAGCAAGAAGCTCTGCTGGCATAGGGTTTTTGGCCGCTTTATTAGCTAGCGATATCGCCTTCTTCTCGGCCTGATCTATCTCCTTTAGCTCTCGCTTGCGTATATCCTTATTTGCATCGCCTTTTGTGAGTGGTCCAACTATCCTGATCTGTCGGCCAGAGGGCCTCGTCGTTCGATTGTGGGTATGGGTAAGAAGAAGCTGATTGTCGGCACGGAACTGGGCAAGACCCTCGGTCGAATTTCCTATACTAAAGGTTAGATCCACGTAAAATGACGGCGAGAAAGCGAGAAAGCGAGAAACCTACCTGCAGTGCTACAAATGAGCGTAGACCGGTGTAAAACTCTCTCCACGATAGATAGGAAGCTCTTCAGGCGACGTCTCTCTCCGTTCTCGCGATGATTTCTCTCCTTAGCGCTCTCATTATTCCTCTTCCTTATCGACGTGGCCGTCCGCTTAAGGGTAGCTAGACGGCGTCGAGCATCGGCGATGTCATTGAGAAGCTTCTGAGACGTCGATTTCGTGTCTAGTACGTCTCGCGGCGGTGACATGGTGATAGAGCTAGCGAGCTCGCGGTCTTGAGCTGCATCTCCATCTCTATCAGGAAAGCCGTCTAGCCATATATCATTGGTCTCATCATTAGCATCTCTAATCTCTTGCTCCATAGCTAATTGCGCATCAATAGGGACAATTCCAGTAAGGCGGAAACCTTCCTTAATAACGTGCTCTGAGAGAGCATCCATCCCCTCCCGAACCTTGACGATTTCGCGAAAAAATCGACCTTCCGGGATACCGAGCCACCCCATTGGACGGTCTCGACGTTATTTCTCCGATACAGCGCTTTATACCGTTGAAATGGAACCGAATCGAGGGGCTGGCATATATGAGAGACATGCGGCCGGAAGGCGTACGGAACAATGCGATTTCCCCAGCATTTCAGGATGAATTCAGGCGTACAGTGAGACTTATGGCCGTCGAAAAGAAGAAGGCGATACCCTCGGCAGTGTACTCGGTCTTCTTCTTCCCGTATCGCCTTTATCTCTTGTCGAATCGCTGCATCTTGGCCGTATCGACGGCGACCGCCATGGCCACGAGCTTCCGCTAATTCATCATCGCTTTCGGCGTATTTATGGCGATAGACTCGGTGGTTTGTGGCCTCGATAAATGAGTCTAGCCATTCTAATGCAGTGGTGTAAGACGAATAGCCCTTTGGTGTCGGTTTTATCGTCCAATCATCAGGCATTTCGTCAATATACCAGCATTCCTGGTGATACTGAGCTTTCACTAGAAACCACGGCGGCGTCTTCCAACCATCGGCAGCAATACATTCAATAACGGTAATACTCTCGCTATGGCCCCCGGTTGCAGTGAAGCTAATAGGTGAAGCAGATACCACTTTCTGAGCCTTTCCTTCGCCGATTCGGAAGCCGGTTTCATCCATATTATAGATGTCCTTCGGTCGAAACCCATACTGCTTAATACACTGCTCTAGGCGGTCATACCACATCTCCGTAAGACCTACGTCCTCGGCGCCCATTCGCTTCGGGTCCTTCGGCTTCTGCTTAATAAAATGGAGGTGGGGTGCAAGCTTTGGCAGTCGCTTAGTAAATGCCAGGCCCCAGCCATGCCAAAGAGGCTTCCGGTCCGGGTCTGATCGATGAATAATGTCATCGGCGCGCTGTTGTATCGATAATGCCGTCGGGGGGGCGCCGCAGCTATCCATAAAGATAATCCAGTCAAGCAATGCTTTGTCTTGGACCGAGTCCAATGCCTTATTGGTGGCAGGTCGGCCACTTGCTGACCCGGCACCCCGTATACAGCCTAGCAGGGTCTGGTAACTGACGTCGAATTCCCTTGCCAATGGCTTGATCTTCGGCTCATTACGGTCATGGTAAGCGGCCAATGCATTAGCGATTTTGAGCTCATTTTCATCGGACATGGTAGCGAGAAATGGTCGAAAAATGAGCTATTTCATGGAGATATTAGCGGGAAAACGTCATGCTAAGGCCAATATTAGATGCATTGCGTTCTGATTTGCTTACATTAAATAGCTCAGGCAATGCTCTTTTGAATGCAGTATTTATGGCAGTAATTTGCTATACAAAAATGCTACGAAGATTGACATTTTACTAGGTGGGGGAAAAGTATGGTTAGGCACCAAAATCGGGCCCGAAAGTATGCTCTAAAACCGGAGCCCCAACACCAGAGGTGTTTGGGGCGACTAGCTTAGCTAAGCATTAAAAGGGCCCGAGTATAGCATTGATACAGAAATTTGGAGCAAGCTTAGCAAGAAATGAGATCCTGATTGTAAAAACCCAGAGTACAAGGCGACAGTTCTTTTTTGCAAGTGCTGGGCACCACTAAACCTTAGCCAAAAGATACTGACTGCTTCACTTAATTTGATAATGACATAGCGCTAAATGTGCTGGTAGATTCAGTTTCTTCTTTCATCATACCTAACGGCGTGACCAGAGAGACACCGATTCATCTCAGTGGAACCGTCTCACAAAAGGCGGAGATTGTTGGCAGAAAACGCAACTCGTGGGGCTGGAGCATTGACAAATCTCTGTGTTTGTTAGCTTGACCCTGGGAATCAAAATATTGACTCTGGGAACCTCAAAGCATTTCTAGGAGCTGTCTATCCCCTAGGAGCCACAATTTAGCTCCTGGGGCTATTTCTAATTCTAGGAAAATGAGATCTACCCCTGGGATCTTCACTTTACGTTCCTAACTGAGTACGAAACTGGCTCTGGGAATACATTGACCAGATCTGGGAGCTGTGGAGACCCTGGGAGCTTACTTTAGGGTCCTAGAGTCAATAGCTTGCCTTCCGAGATCGCCGAAAGCCCTCACAGAACACCTTCACCGGACCTGCGCACAATTCTGCGTCATTGGATCCCCCAGGAGGCCAAATCATCGCCCCAGGAATCAACAAGTCGTCAACAGGAACGCGGCTTTGATTCCCCGTGGTGGGGATAGCAGACCCCAGAAGCTACATCGGGTTTCCTGGGGCTACGTGGCTCCTAGAAACAATGTGAGGGTCTCACGTATACATAGAGGTGGATAGTGTCTCAAGATGAACAATCGATATTAAGAACAACTTTAGTTGACTCTAGATACAAGACGTAGCGCGAGGAAGCAAAAGAAAGGTAGCTTCCTCGCGTTCAGGGGAACCCACGTACACCATGTGGGTCCCGTGCGGATCATATCTCCATCCGTTCCGCATGCTTCATCTATATCCTTGATAACTACCAGGAACAGTTTTGGCGTTCCCAGGAGCTAGACTCCAGAGATTTTCCAACTCCGCCTGAGCTTGTTGTCAAGGCTTTGATACCTCCGTGTGATTGCTACGCACCTCTCAGTGGAGTGACAGACTACTCTCCTAGCTGACCACGGAATTTGGCTGAGGTGAGTATATAAAGGCCCCCATATCCTGCTTTCACAACTCTCACCTCACCCTTATCTACATTTCGTTTGCTCCATCCGCTGTCCAATCATGGTCTGTTTCAATTCGTTATTACTGAGTTTACCAGGAGATGAAATGATGCATTATATATGATGAAAACTGATTTTGGCTCAGAATATTTCCCCACGATGTTGTAGAAGTTCCTCACAAAAAATCTTCAAAATATAAGGCATCTGTCGAGCCCTGGAACACACGGGAGAGAAAGATTCTGTCTTGTGGATATGCAGGAGTATCTGCTCTGATACCGTCGATCGTGATGGGATTTCGAGACTTGGACAGGAGCCGTACCAAGGGGCGACCAGCCGGTTCTGCCGAATTCTATCCGCTTATCACACCTAGATTCATCCACGTAGACGAGGTGCTATGAGCAAAATTTTGATATGAGATGATAGCAATTACCAAGTAAATTGGGGTTACGCTCGTTTGCCTTCCATCATTTTTTCGGTGCAGGCCATCGCTGATCGTGGACTTGGGTACAGATAAGTCGAATTCATTAAGAAAGAAAGGTTCAATCTCCTGAAGGTATAAATCCGGCCTTCCGAGTAGGTGGTCGCACAGCGCTTCTAGCATAATCGGAGTGATGCTTTGC